GAAGCTGCCCCTCCGGAGCGGCCTCCCGGGAGGCCGGGGGAGGCCCCGCAGCGGAGCCTCCGCAGGGCCCTGCCCCGGGAGAGGAGACGCGAGAAGCCCCCAGGCGAGCAAAGGGACACGGTGGGTTTTGCTCTGTTCTGTTTACAGTTTAGTATTTAAGGTTTTATAAATGTAAATATATTTTGTATATTTTTCTATGAGAAGCACTTCATAGGGAAAAGCACTTATGATGAGGCTTTTTAAACAGTGGTGTTATCCTAATTTAAAAGAATCTGTTTTTAATATTTTTTTTATTTTCATAGGACGGTTATAGGAAATATCTGGCTGGACACAGTCCGATCCTTTCCCCAGAGAGAGGGCGACACTTTTTTTTTATTATTAATTTTTTCGGTTATCGTCGTTATAATTATTCTCGTTCTGCCTTGGTGACTTCAGTAACTGTTTGCGGGAGGTTTGGCTGGCAGGCGGCGCGGGCGGGAGGCGCGCGGCCCGGCCGCCCCGCGCCATGAATGTATCTCCTCCAGGACTGACACGGATCATGCTGTCGGGACCCGCTCCCCGCGGAGCCCCCGGGCGTTTCTTTTCCTTTGTACAAAGCAGGTGTTTTTGTAAGGAGCAAAGCGGGTCACTGCAAAGGGCTGGGTGTTTGTTGTCCCTCGTCGTGTTCTGTTCCTTCCTTCATTTCCAAGCAATAGCGGGTTCTTCCGAGGACGCTCTTTGCGCAGGCTCAATCATGCCATTGAATCCACGCCGCCGGGCCGCACGCCGCACGCGCGCCGGCTCTTCTGGTCTTTTGTAACTATAAATACGATATATATAGGAACTAATATAGTAACGCACCGTGTAACGAAGCCTAGTTCAGTATCGGTCCATGGCTCCTACTTCTCTTAACACTATAGGTAAGGATTGTGTTGCAGCCGCCCCCGGGGCGGGAGGAGCCGGGCGGCAGCCCGAGCCCTTCCCGGCCCCTCGTGTTCCCAGTCGGTCCTTGTACAACCCGGGTTTTCCTTCCTTTGCTCTTTTCGGTTATGAATGTCGGGGTACCACCTGCATCTCGGAAAATGTGCTCTGTGCTTTCCTGGTATCCTTGGAACAAGGTACTGTGGCTTTGTCTCTCAACCCAGAACTATTACTTGTGGTGTTTCTTTTATTGAACTTAACAGTCCTTAGTAAGTACAGGTAGGTGAATAATTGTTTCAAAAACTTAAAAAAGAAAAAAAAATGCTCTGCAAAAGCAAGGTTATGTTCTAGAAATACACTTCTTGGCAACTTATCATGTATAACGACTCTTTTCTTTCCTTCTTGTGTTCTTCCGAGCTTTGGGTTTTTTCTACAAAAAACAAAAAAAGGAAAAAAAAAAGACAAAAAAGAAAAAAAGAGAAAAAGAGAAAAAAGAGGAAATGTGTGTAAAGTCCATCAGTGTTAACTCCCTGCCACAGGGAAGAAGGAAATACTTTAACAGTTAAAAAAATGCTGAAAGCTCTGCAAAAGACTGAATGTAAAAATAAAAAGTGTACATAGTTGTAAAAACGAAAAACAAAAAAAAAAACAAAGGAGTTTTTAAACATGTTTATTTTCTATGCACTTTTTTTTATTTAAGTGATAGTTTAATTAATAAACATGTCAAGTTTATGGCTGCAGAGGGTGCCTTTGGCTTCATTCCGGGGGGCGGCCGCGCGCGGGGCCCCTCGGCCGCGCGGCGG